CCAGGGGCAGGTTCCTTCCCTGAACACCTACTGTCGGCCTGACACCATCCAACATCACGACCACCTTACGAGGCAGGCCTAGCTAAGCCCATCAGACAGATGAAGAAACAGTCTCTGAGAAGCCAAGGGACTTGCCCAGGATCATCCAGCTAGGAGGCCGCAGCCAGGATTGGCATTCCCCTCCACAGCCAAATGCTGGTGGCCAAACTCGCTGCCAACAGTCAACAATGGCCATGTGCCATTTCTCTGCCCTCCCTCAGGGCTTGGATTTCCGGCATTCAGTCCCCTGCCTGCAGGTCCCCTTGTCAGTGAGCACCTGAGGTGGCCTGCACCGTTCCCGGGCTCTCTGACCAGGGTGGCCTGGTGATGGTGTGTACACACATGTGGATGCTACTGGCACAGAGTCGAGGGATCACTGTGTCCCTGCGAGGGAGCCCGCACAAGAGCTTCTGTCAATGATCCTTCATTAGTATCAAATATTAAAAGCCAGGGCTGGTTCCTGGCTGGGCCATGGTCCCCAGACACCCATCTTGGCTGGAGGTGGGCTGTGTCCAGCCAGAACCCAGCTTATCAGCCCAGCTTTATCTGGCCTGGGAGGAGCTGGGGAATCACAGCCAGGGCCTTGGCTCAGGTCTTGTCAACACAGGGAGGCAGCCGGGTGCAACGTGCCAGGAGGCCCAGGGATGTTTCATTAAGTCAGACCCTGGTGCTGGAAATAAAACCCCCAATTAAACACTTCCCCTCCCGGAAACCGCTGCTGCGTCTGTAATCAGGCTGACAGCCGCCCTTCCACGTGGGTGCAGCCACTCAGGGCTGTGGAGAGCTGCTCGTGAATCGATTAGCTCCTGCACCCTGGCAACGTGGGCGGCCCGTAAGGACTCTAGGGCCCCATCTTACAGATGGGGACACTGAGATTCAGAGGCCAGCCACGGCCCTCCACGGCGTGGTGGAATGAGGCTCAAATGAAGCCATCAGCTCAGGGTGGGGTGAAGGGTAAACACGCGCAGCATCATGCCTTTGAGAAGAAGTTCAGGCTCTGAACACAGATGCAAGTTCAAATCCTGGTTCTGCCTCATCTGTAAAATGGGAACCATAATGGCTTCCCGTGGGAAGTGACTGGTACACAGTAGGTCTTCGTGGGCCAGATAGTGGCATAGCTATAAAACACGGTGCTCTGTGAGGCCAATCCCCAGGGGAAGGTTTCATGTCTGTGTCTGGAGACCTCTCTGAGCACACTGGGCAAGCAGGAGCCCGTGATCTGGAGCTGGGGTGATGTCTCTCTCTCTCTTTATCATTCTGTCTCCTCTGTCTCTCTTGCTTAAAGAAGAAACAAATAAATAAATAGACTTTAAAAACAATCATCATCTTGGGACCAGCAGTGGCGTAGTGGCTATGTCGCTGGACTCCCATGTAGTCAACCGTGGCTTAAGTCCTGGACCCAGTGGCTTAAACTCACGCCAGCGCACGTGCATGCATGCCCAGGGTCCCCTGAGGAGAATGGAGGAGAAGGGATTGCAGCGTGGCCATCCCCCCTGGGGGGTGATTTCTCGCTTTCTGTCTCTCTGTCTCTCTCTGTCTTTCTGGCGAGCCCATGCACCCTATAGCAAAAACCTCTCCAACAACAACAAAAAAAAAATCATTGTCTCAGTGGAAAATTGCCTGCTTCCCCCACCCAATTCCTCAAAGGGGAGCCCCGAGGACTCTCCTGGGACCAAGCCTGGGCCTCGGTCAAACCTTGGCAACTTCAGCCTGCCGTAAAAGCTCCTGGGCTCAGGACCAGTAGTTGGCATAATGGCTATGTCGCTGGACTCCCATGTAGTAGACCACAGTTCGAGTCCCGGCCCCAGTGGCTTAAACTTATGCCGGGCGTGTGTGCGTGTGTGCCCAAGATCCCGAGAGGAGAATGAAGGAGAAGGGACTGTGGTGTGGCCATCTCCCCTGGGGGTTGATTATTCACTTTCTGTCTCTTTGTCTTTCTTGAGAGTGCACACGCCCTATAGCAAAAACAAACAAACAAACAAACAAACAAAACCTCTCCCCCCCCCTAAAAAGGCTCCTGGGTTTGACACTGCTTGGGAGGCACCTGTCAGAGTTTCCAAGAATTGTGAGTTGGTTATTTTAAAAGCATTTTATGACTCCCATATAATTAGAACTAAGCTAACACACAGGTAGATCAGGAGGGGTACAGCTAATGAGGCTGGCAGGATTTGCAAGGAGCAGATAAGCAGTTCGCGGGTACCTGGGGATATTAAAGGGCCCTCAGGGCTCTGAGGCCACCCGCTCCTCACACGGTTGTTTGCACCAGGCCTTTCCTTTGACCACCTTCCTTCCTTGACTCATCCGCCTCCCCCTCTGTGTGAACCTGAGTCCCCAGTTCCTAAATAACGGGGTCAGAAACCAAGGGTTTGTCTGGCTCCCCTGGGACACTGTGCAGCTCTGAGGCTGGAGCCTGCCCCATGTCCACCCTCCTCCCTGCCTCTGCATCCACCTGTTCTTGCAGGCCTGGCCCCAACGTCACCTGTCCCTGGAAGCCTTCATGATGCCACACACCCCGCAGAAGATGACTTTGACCACTCTCGCCACCATGGCCTCGGCCACCAAGCCAGCTCCTTCAGCCCTGCTGTGTGTGTGGGGTCACCCCTCCTCCCCAGTACACACAGGAACTGACACATCCCTGAGGTCTCAGGGGCAGCCCTACCTCCTGCTCAGGGTCCTGTCATTGTTCTGAATGTATCAGGTCATCAGAAATGTCATGATGTGTTTTTTCATGGTTTTCTATGCAAACATGTGTCATGACTTTTCCGACGACCCAATGATTCTTTCTGAAGTCACCCACTCTTCTGCACCCCAGAAGGCTCCCTCCCAGGACAGTTTCACTGGCCCCCTGCCCTCTTCTGGGCCTGGCAATGGGGGGGTTGTGCCGGTAGAACACAGAGGGGCTGGGGCGTTTCCCTCTGCTCCCTCCCCCCCTGGACTCAGAGACTTTGGCAGTGGCTCTCCCCACCTTTTGGGTAACCCCTCCATCATGATTCCAGCTGTCACGGGAACCGGGCCCCAGCCCCATCCCTGCCCTCTCACTTCTCATGTGTAAGGGCTCTAAGCTTTCCACCGCGGTAGTCTGAGGTGCTTTGGGTACCCCCCGGGCCCCTTAACCCTGCCTGGTCTCTGTAGGGGCTCTGCCATGAAATCCACCTCCAGTTCCCGGGGTGTTCTGTGCTGGGCTCCTGCCTGAGACAATGCCTGTCCTTCTCCCAGTCCCCATCCACCACTTTCACTGGCCCAAGAAAGCTCCCAAACTGGCCTTCCTGCTCCCACATGCCCTGGCTGGGGGGGTCGGGGAGCCCCAGGTGCCGGCCTCTGCCAAGGGAAGTCCAGGACAGGCCAGAGAGGGCGACTGCACTGCGGGGGCCCCGCGGTGGGTGTCCCTGCGGGTCCCTAACTCAGAGAGAGGGAGGAGGGAGGCAGAGTCGGCAATTCCAAGTGTCAAAAAAGGAGTAAATTAGCCTGGCAAGTGTGTGTGGGGGGGAACTGGCAGGGGGCCTGTGCAGGGGCCGTTATCTTCATGGAGAAAGCAATAAAAGCGTGTTCGCTCATAAACGGGCACCACCAGGACCTATTTCCTGCTCAAATAAAATTAAAGGTGATGGATGGAGCCGCCAGCGGCAGGCAGAGCTGGGGGCGGCTTAGCGCTGAGCCATGGGCCCTGTCCTGAGCCCGGCTCCCCGGGGTCTAGAGGCCCAACCCAGGCTCGCCTTTGGGAGGCAGAGAAAGCACGTATGCTTGGGGAGGTGGGGGAGGTAGGTAGCACGGGTGGAAAAAATGAACAGCTACCATTTTTCAAGGACCTGCGAACCTCTCCACACCTGCTCACTTGGCTCTAGCCCACCTTCCAGGTGAGCAAAGCAAGCACAGAGAAGTCTGGAACTAGCTGCCGCTTGCACAGCCAGACACACCATCTGAAGCAGAGCCATCAGACGGCAGAGCTCACAGAGAAGCAGGCGGTGTAGGCAGAACGCGGCTGCTGCCAAGGGTGTGTCCAGTCAGCAGACGCTGTCCAGGCCACTCACCTGTCTCCAGGGCAGAGCGCCAGGTACACACCTCCCCAAGCAAGCCTGGGGTAGCCATCAGACAGGCTGACTCTCAGACTGGTCCCCAGGTCTGCCACTTACTAGCTGTGTGAGCCTTGAAAAGCCACTTAGCACACCTGTGCCTCAGTTTCGTCATCTGGAATCAGAGCGCTTGCCTCAGGGGTTGTCGCTCGGTTTACATGAGTGTACGTATGCGCACTGCTTGCAACAGGCCACGGCCCAGAGCTGTGAGGGCCGCCGGCCAGCTCCGTGTCCCACCCAGACCCAGGCTCTCCCTCATGCACGATGGTGGAGAAGAGCCTCCACAGGAGACCTGCCTGGGCTCCATCCAAGCTGCTTCCATGTGCTGAGGGGACGCTCAGATGGGGTTCAGCCAGTCAGCTCTCTTTTTTAAAAGAGATTTTTGCTAGAGAGACAGAAAGTGAGAAATTGCCCCCTAGGGGGGATTCTCCTCTTGGGATTTTGGGTACGCATGCACACGTGCTGGCGTGAGTTTCAAAGTACCGGGTCCAGGACGTGAACCACAGTCAGCCACGTGAGAGTCCAGTGATGTAACCATTACAGCGTTTCTGGAGGGACTGCTCCCTCCAGGAAGAACCTCTGCCTTCCCCAAAACATGACCTCATGCTCACACTTGTGTAAAGGCCCATTTTTGCTTGATTAGAGGCCCCTTCAAAGCACAATGGTAAGGGAACCAGCAGTTAGCGTAATGGCTATGTCGCTGGATTCCCACGTAGTCGACCGCGGTTCACATCCTGGACCCGGTGGCTTACAACTCACGCTGGGCGCATGTGCGTGCGTGCCCAAGATCCAGAGAGGAGAATGGAGGAGAAGGGATTGTGGCGTGACCATCCCCCCTGGTGGGTGATTTCTCGCTTTCTGTCTCTATGTCTCTCTCTCTCTCTGTCTGTCTGGCAAGTGCACGCACCCTATAGAGAAAATCTCAAAATAAATAAATTAATTAAATTAAAATTTTTTTAAAAAAAGCACAATGGTAAGAGCACAAACTGGGTTCAAGTCCTGGCTCTGCCACTTATGATATCATTTCGAACAGGTGACTTCAACCTTCTGGGGCCTCAGTTTCCTCATCTTTACGAAAGGCATAAACATGTCCAGTTGTACAGATTAAGTGAACACCCTGCTTTTAGGAAAGAACTTTGCACCTAGTAAGTGTTCAACAAGTGTTAGCTATTCCTTTTTTTTTTTTTTTTTGGAGAGGTTTTTGTTATAGGGCGCGTGCGCTTGCCAGACAGAGAGAGACAGAGACAGAAAGCAAGAAATCACTCCCCAGGGGGGATGGCCACACTGCAATCCCTTCTCTTCCTTTCTCCTCTCGGGATCTTGGGCACGCACGCACACACGCCCAGCATGAGTTTTAAGCCACCAGGACGCGAACCGCGGTCGATCACATGGGAGTCCAGCGACATAGCCATTATGCTAACTGCTAGTCCCAGCTATTCCTATTTTAAGAAGTGTCTTTTCTCCCCTTATGGAGACTGTGAACTCTCTGTGGCAAGAGAGCTTGTCCTCCGTTATCCCCTGGGAGGTATAAGAGGGGAGGGGTGAGGAGCACATTGATTGTCCCTCCGGTCAGGAGTCCTCCTTTAGCCTCTGCAGGTCTCTGGGCCTTGCTGATTCTCCCACCTACCCACCACGCTTGTCTCAGTTCAGGGTGTTCTCTGCAGGGTGCGGTGAGCTGGGAAGGGCTGGGGACCCCCACCAACGCCCTGATCACCGCTCCTAGGAGGTGGCTGGTGTCACTGCCAGATATGGGCCATCTATTGGGTTGCTGGAAGAGTCCTGACACATTTTTCATAGAAAAACATAAAAATACGTCATGACTTTTTTGACATCCCAGTACAAACTCATATCATACATACGTACACATGCACACGCATACATGTGCTTGCCCCCCACCCCACCCACATATATCCCTGAGTAACGACCTCCCTGTGCCCTGCCCTCCCCTCTCCCCAGGATCTGTTCCCTCCTACTCCTTCCCTGCCACATCTTTCTCTTAAGTCAGACCCCGCACTTCCCCACCCCCCAACTCCTGCCAGCATGGCGGCCATGGCTCAGGCTACCCTGAAGCCCGCCCCTGCCCTCACCCAGGAAAGCAGGCTGACCACATCCTAGGAGGCCTCAGGCACTCTGGCGGGGGAGGGCTGCTTCAGGGGAAAGAAAGCAGGGCATTCCCACAGCCCCGTCGCAGCCTCCTGGGTACAGGCGAGGGAAGGACTTACCACTGCTGGCCCAGGGCAGGTACCAGGGGCAGCTGACGTTCACGAAGGAGCCCGGCTGTCCATCCGGCCAGCAGGCATAGTCGTCAAAGGTCCGGTTGCAGAACAGGCCTGGGGCGCGGGAGGAGTCTCAGCACCTCCCTGCCTGTGCCTGGCCATGGCCTTGCCCCTGCCCCTACCCTCCCCACCTCCCCTTCCCAAGGTGGAAGCTGCACTCCACTGACCTCAGCGGGGCACTTACTAGATGCTAAGCGCTTTCCCCACTCAGCAGACGCCAAAGGGGACTTGCCACTACCAGTCGTGGGAACTCAATTTCCTCATCTGTAAAATGGGGGTATTCCCCAGCCCTTAGGGCTTCGTTTGGATAGAGACTGTATGCTCTGTAGAGACCTGAATGAATTACGTGGGCAATAAACATCCCCATGGATCTATTTTTCAACTACACTTCCCAGATCTGAGGGAAATGGCAGCTCGTGGGGCTGAGACAACCTTTCTCCAGTCACCGCGTTATAAATCCAGAGTAGAGAATTGAACCCAGGCCCATCTGGCTCCGAAACCACCCCACAAACTCCCTGAAGCATGCACTCCTGCACGTATGTTCGTTGGGCCTTCCTACCACGCACAGGCTGGAAGGTGCTCAGGAGGACACAGTCGAATGGGCCGGGGCCCAGAGTCGACAGAGATTCCTTGGAGCAACTGAGCTGGGCTTGGGGAAACCTGAGAAGCCATGGCAGGGGTGGAGGGCTCAGGCAGGGAACAGCCTGGACAAAGAGACAGAGGCCCAGGGAAGGTCTGACCGCTCTTAGAGGCACAGGCCTCCCCGCCATGGACCTGGGATTCATTACAGCCTCTGGGAGTCTGCTGGGCAGGCGCTGAGCCGAGGGCCCCACCTGGACTCACCTGTGGCCGGGGGCGGAGCCTCAGTCAGGAAGTGCTGGCACTGGCGGCGGTACTCTCGCCATTTCTGCACTGTCTCCAAGAGGGACACGGTGGCACCCTGGGAGAGGGAAGGAGGAGGGGGCCCTGTGGGTCCAGCCAGCCCCGCTCCTATCCCCTCACCCCTACGTACAAGGCTCTTGTTTTATAGGGCCTCTTCGAGCCCCAAACGCCGCCAGGCTTTGACCTCCTCTGCCGGGGAGAGACCAAGTCGCTGCCACGTAAGGGCTCCGGATACCGGTACTCACTCGATGTGCCGTGAGCCCCCCACAAACGTCTGCTGAACTCGTGCTTTGGGGGGCCTGGTGGTGAAGGAGGAGGGGAGAGTGTGTGCTCGTTCACCGCCTCATCTGACCTCACCCGGGAGACCTCCTGAGGCCCAGGAAGGGCTTCCTTATGGCCACGGGCTCCCTCCTCCGGGGCCTGCCCAGGGGCTTCTCACACTTTCAGTCATTCTAGAAGAGGACCCACAGCCCAGGGTGGGAGACGGACTCAGTCAAAGGTACACAGCACCCAGGAAGCAGAGCAAGGCTTGGACCCAGGGCCCCCCATTGGAGGGCATGGGGACACTCAGTGCTTCAAAGCCAGGTGCCCACCACTCAAATTCCTCCAGCAAAATGCAGTCATTTACCTAGGAGGGTGACGCGACCCCTGGTGTCCCCAATAACACAACAACACAAGCCAAATACTCAGCCGGGCTTCTATCGGCCAGGAGAAGGAGCAGTCCTGAGGACATGAGTGAAGGGTCAGAAGGTTCCAGAACACTGAAGTCACGCCTACCACCAGAGGGCTCCACCTCCCTGTGAGCAGGGGGATGTAAACCCCAGTTTCAGATCAGGAAGAGAAGTGGCTTTTAGCACACAGACCCAAACAAACCCACCCCACTGAGACCAGTCCCTTCTGAGTGTCTTCACGCACATCCTTGGGGTAGACCTTGGGGCTGTGGTTCCTTTCCATTTCTTCACTTTTTCCTGAACAGCCTTAAAGATTATAATTTTATCTCATTTAGAGGCAACAGATGCTGGAATGACCAGAGAGCCCCTTGTATAAAGAGCCTATACATAATTTAAAACAAAATTTTACTTTTTGAAATGGCAAAAAGAAACTCCCACCCTTGACTCACAGTGTACCTAAGCACATGCTCTGTCCGGGTTCTGGGAATCCTGCCCTGGTCTAGGCCGGGTCCTGGTTTCTAAGACACTTCCCGCTGGGTGACACATGGGCTGCGTCCGCTCACAGCGCCATAGGAAGCCCCGGAAAGTGGCCAAGTCCAGGACCCCAGTAACATCTTCGGAATATGTGCTGAGGCTGCAGGGGGGCTACCCAAGAGGACAGAGCTCTTCTGAGGGCAAAGGCCAAGTGTATTCGTGTGGGAAGAAAATTAAAAAAAAAAAGAACAAGATAGGCCAGCAGGTGGTATGGTGGTGCAGGTGGCTGGATCCCACACGGCTGACTATGAGGTTCAAGTCCTGGACCCAGAGGCTTTAAAATCACACTGGGCATGTGTTCATGCATGCCCCAAATCCCAAGGAGAATGGAGAAGGGATTATGGCATGGCCATCTCCCTGGTGTAGGAAAGAAAGTGATTTCTGGTGAGCACAAGCACACTATAATAAAACTGGAGGGGAAAAAAGGAACAAGAAGTTGAACACCACTACAGCAGAGGGAGTGTGGTGACGCTAGCCACAGCTGAGGAAGTGGTCGTTCTCCCGAAGTCCTGGCAGGTCACCCCACCCACTTTTCCTTCTCCCTCTCCTCTCCCCCGCGGGGAGGTCTCTTCCTCCCTGTCCTGAGGGCAGCACCTGTGGGCGGTGGCCAGCAGAGAGGCAGGGAGCAGTGGCCCTGGGTTTCTGTTTCTGGGAGGAACGCCGGCAGGAGACAAGGTCAGCGCTGGGAACTGGGACAGAAGGTGAGTCTGGGCAGGGAGCGAGGGCAAGACGCCGTGGACGCTGGCCGTCTCCAGGCTGGGAGAGGGAGGGTGAGAGGCTAGGACACAGCGTGAAGGCCAGCCTGGGCCACCCAGCAGGGAGTATCGTACAGAGGGAGCCCTGTCACTGCTCTGAGCACAGCTATGGGCACAACACTGTCTTCAGCCCACGCTTCCTGAGGACAAGGCTGCATCTCCCCACAGACCGGGCTCCCCAAGGATGAGGCTGCATCTCCCCAAGGACAGGGCCATGTCTCCCCTCAGACCAGGCTCCCCAAGGAAGGCTGTGCCTCCCCTCAGACCAGGCTCCCCAAAGGAAGGGCTGCGTCTCCCCGGGCTCCCTGAGGATGGGACCATGTCTTCCCTCGGACCAGGCTCCCCAAGGACGGGGCTCCCTGGTACAGATGATAGGTGAAGGCCGGTCAGTGAGGCTGGGGGCCATGCAGTGGCACAGAGGCCAGGTGCCAGGTAACACAGGGAAGGGTGAACAGATCTGGGCTTAATGCTGGCTCCCCCATAAATGTGGCTAGTGATCTTGTGCAAGAGTATTAACTTCTAGTCTGAACTTACACACGCAAAACGGGAACACCAGCAGTTCCTCCCGACCCCACAGAACCGTGGCGTGGCTTGAGTTCGTGCTTAGAAGGGCCACTGGCACCTGGAAAATGCTGACTGTTTTGCCATTTAGGGGAGAGGGCCGATTGGAAGAGGGTGGCCTGGCTCCCTGGGAATCGAGGCCCCACCCCGCCCCCACCCCTAGGAACACAAACCCCCAGCAGGGGGAAGTAATACACTTTCCTGCCCAAGGACCAATCATCCTGCTTCCATTGTGGTTCTAGTCACAGCCACAGGGATGAAGAAGTGAAGGTGGGAGGAGGCTGGGGACCAAAGTCAAGGCCCCGCCCCTGCCCCTGCCTCCTCCCCATTCCATCCTGCTCCAAGCCTGGGTAGTGGGATGACAGGATGGCAGATGGCCCTGCACGTCCCGGGGCAGCAGAGCCGGTCAGGATAGGGGCTGGGTCAGGGGCCGGGGTAAGAGCGGCTGGCTGGTTTCAGAATCAGGACTTGCCAGGCTTCATGGGATCGCCGAGGAGGAAGGCAAGCGGAGACAAGGCCCAGGTTGGAGATTACAACGAGGAGAGGCCATCCTGCAGTTTCAGGGCTTTTTGGAGGACACAGGAGATGAGAAAGAGGATGCCAGGGGGAACGGGCCTGCTCTGCGGGAAAGAGCAGTGGACGGAGAGCCACAGTCCTTGGTTTAAGTCCCAGCCCTGTCTATTAACGTGGGACTGACGGGTACACTTCTCTTTTGGGGTCTTAGTGTCCACATCTGCAAAGTGGGCACATCATGCAGATAACAATGGTGACATTTTTCTTGTCGCAAGCCCTGTTCTACGGGAACGTAGCAGGCCGAAGGGCAGAGGAGCAGGAGGTGGAGGGAGTGGGAGCGCTCGAGGGGCGGCCTTTCCCTTCCTGTCCAGACTGCCCACCACAACAGGGCTTCCTCTTCTCAGGGCAAATAAGGACCAGGTTCTCTTCTTTTTTAGAGAGAGAGATTTTTGCTATAGGGCGCATGCACTCGCCAGAGAGTCAGAAAGCGAGAAATCACCCCCGAGGGGGTATGGTGACACCACAGTCCCTTCTCTTCCACTCTCAGGATTTTGGGCATACACACATGCATCGGGTGTGAGTTTCAAGCCACTGGGTCTGGGACTCGAACTGCAGTCGGCCATGTGGGAGTCCAGCAACATAAGCATTATGCGGTCTGCTGGTCACAGGTTCTTTCCTTTCACAGAACTGTTCTGGCTGAGAGAAAGGAGGAGAGACCTCTGACTCTCAGGGTCACTGAGGGAGGAGACGTGGGGGAGAGTCTCTCAGAAGGTACACAAGTGGCTCTGGGGGCCCCTAACTAGGTCTGGCCTGGCATCTCCTCCTGGCACTCCCCACCTCCTTCCTCTCTGTCGCCTCCCAGGACCACGCCTTGCATCACCGTGCCCTGGAGGGGCTGCCAGGCCCCTGATGACCCCATGTATTTCCCTTAAGGCTTCACTATCTGAATAGAGAGGCAGAGCTGGGGAAGCTGGAAAACGCACATTCGCATGGGCTCAGACCCTGCCCCAGACCTGCACTGTCACATCATCACACCTGCCCCCAAGGACACACCGAGTAGTGACATGATGACACCTGCAGGAACACACAGACACACCGAGCACCGTCTCCCACACACACACCCTCTCGACTGCTCGACTAGAGACACTGTCACACACATACACAAGGGACAGCCACAGAGACCCTCTGTTGCAAGCATGCTATCTCTCCTCCACACGGACACCTACCAGCACACACCCAGATGTGACACCAAGATGTCACGCTCACATACGGAGACCCTGGTGGACACACAGTCACAGGTTGAGATGTACACATGGCGACCCCCAGACTGCCACACGCAGGGTCATGTCTAAGTACACAGATTTGGGGACTCATACAGCCCACACCCTCCTCCCGAGGTCTGCGTCTCTGTCTCTCTACCCGTCCCCATCTCCGTATCTCACACCTGCAGAGGAATTTGCCTACGGGCCGAGTTCCCTCAGCGTGAGACATTTGAGGGCAGGATGTGGTTTCTTGGTGGCTCCTGCCCAGGCCCCCACCCTGGGCCGGTATCCGGGAGAGAGCCCTGCTCAGAACAAAGTCCACACTGGCCGAGGTGCGGCCCTGGACACTATCCACAGTTTCCCAGAGTGCAGCGGCCGGGGGCCTCCGCAGCCCCTCTCTGTCCCATCTGTGGCCTGGGGGACATTAGCAGATTCCCGAGGACAAACGGGTCAGCTCCCTCAAGTGACCAAAGCTGCCACTTCAGGTGCCAGTGTCTCAGTCCTCTGCATAATCGCGTGGCCCATATTTATGGACGAGGAAACTGAGGTTTAGGATGGTCACGTGTCCTACCCAAGATCACCAGCTGACAGCAGCCCTGGTATTGAAGCCGGCTCTGTCAGGTTATGCCTCTGGGTGTCAAAGGCTTGCTGTCTCCTCAGAAGACCAGCTCCCACGTGGGGGTCTCGGGGAGGTGAGGAATGGAGGAGGAGGCGGTCCTTCCCAGCAACGATGAAGAAGTGGCCTAGGGCACCTTTTCCAGAACTCAATTTGGCCATCCCCTTACGTGCAGGAGGCTGCTTCCAGCCTCACCAGCCTGACAGGTAGCAGCCCTCGGAGCTCTGCCACCAATCCCACCTGAGTAGGAAGGTGCCTGACCAAGAACCCGGCCCACTCTCTTTCAAAAAAATAAACTGCTCGGCCACCTTATATAGTAAATTCTTGTTTTCTAACTTTTGTCTCCCTCCTTGGTGACGTGAAGGGGCCAACTCTAGTGCTGTTGACCTCATAATCAGAAAAGAAAATGCTGGACCAAGAGTTGGCATAATGGCTATGTTGCTGAACTCCCATGTAGTCGACTGCGGTTCGAGTCCCAGACTGGGTGGCCTAAATTCATGCTGAGCATGCACACATGCCCAAGATCCCGAGAAGAGAATGGAGAAGGGATTGCAGCGTGGCCATCCCCCCTGGGGGGTGATTTCTCGCTTTCTGTCTCTCTGTCTCTCTCTGTCTTTCTGGCGAGCACACACGGCCTATAGCAAAAACCTCTCCCCCCCAAAAAAAAAAAAGAAAAAGAAAATGCAAAGTTCGCCATTATTTTATGCACATGCATTGAAGTGTCTTGGATTTTTGTTTTTAGACAGGGTCTCTACGTAGGCTCTTTCTACCTTGGTGTCCCAAGTAGCTGGGACGAAAGGCCTGCACCACTGCGCCAGGCTCTTTGGGTAGGCGGAGAATCAGTTCTGGCCCATGTGGCCTCAGTCTGTCAAGTAACAGCGTCCGCCAGCACATGCTAGCACGGCGGGCATGAGGTGTTGTGTATTACTGCAGTCTAACCTCAACGCTGCCTGCCGCTCAGATCCCTGCAGCACCCAGGATGCTCGGTGCCCCACAGTGAGAGCAACCTCCAGCGCTCCGTCCTCTGCTCAGGGTCTGCCCCCTCCCGTCCTCTTTCACCCCCAGGATACTCAGCTTTTTGCCTTAGCCTCAGAACTGAGGAATGAAGGGGGGTCAGGGGAAAGGGCAGGCTCCAGGAGCCTGAAGAGTCCTCTGGAAAAAGGGATTTGGGGGCCAAGACAGGCGGCTGCAGAACTTTCCTCTTCCCTCTGCTCTCTTCTGTTAGTCTAAACAGGATTGCAGACCTGGGCGGGATGGGGCTGGGAAGCAGAGCCTCCCACCCTCCTTATCCCAGTCCATACGGGCAGGTAACCATGAGAGGGGACTCGGGAGACAGTCCTTTCCTGCAGTCCTGGCCCAGGGAAGAGCCCCGCTACAGCAGGAAAGTCCAGACCTGGGGTGGAAGGGAGGAGGGTGTTTCTTGGAGCTGGACAGTAGCTGCGCAGGGGGACTAGAGGGAGAGGCTGGGTCTGCGGAAGAATGTGGGGGGAAGATGTGCCAGCACCTTAGCCCAGAGGCACGTCTGTCCACATCAGGATTCCCACCAGGGCTGGACTCTGCTCTTACAAGGCAATGGCCCCTCATCCCACCTCTCACTTGTTCTGGAACAAATGTCGAGGCCTACATAGGACTACTCTCCAGAGAAGTCTGTCCTTTAGGTCTGAGGGCAGGAATGGGAGGTGACGGGAAGAAGCTGTCCCCTGATACAGGACAGGACACCCAAGCCTGTGCCCCCTCTCTGTTCCAGCCTGTCCCTGAATCTCTGGATAATTCCCCTCTCCCCAAGCTGCTGACCTGCCCCAGCCCAGGGGCCTGCAGGAGAGGCAGGGAGGGCAGGAGAGGGGGTTGTGGGGGTCATCGTGGCCTGCTCTTGGGTGGCACCAAGGAGGTGGGGTGTTCCTGTATGTCCCAGTATGAGTATCAAGAGGGTCAGAATAGGGGGTCAGCAGAGTGTGTGGAGGGGGCGGCTGTGTCTCAGGGAGCTTTGAGCCTCCTGCGTGTTTGCCGCAAGGGCTGGGGGGGAGCACTCAAGTTCCATCTGGGAGGTCACCAGGAAGGACAACAAGCTGCCACCGCAGGGTCCCCAGGGCTATGAGTCAAAGGCAGTGCTGGGGTCTGGTGAGAGAGGGAAGGAGATGGGTCTCCACACGTGGGCCTCGCAGCTCTCCCGGAGAGCCTTCGGCGCCAGCTCAGGGGTGTCGGGGAGGCGCTTGAGAGGGTCTGGGCAAAGCGTGGGGTAGGGGAGTCCGGGAGGGGGCAAATGCCAGCCTGTGCCAGGGCTGCTGGCCTGGGCTGAGGCGGAGGCAGAGGAGTTGGAGAAGTGCGGGAGGAGGGGATGCGGCGCGGAAGTCCGCGCAGGGCGGCTGCGGGGCAGCTGGTGCCCGGGCAGAGGGGGCCGGGCAGCGAGGAAGGGGCGCCCCGCCGGGTCTGGGGAAGCCCTCCCCCCGCCGCACCTGGTCTCGGGACACCCAGCTCTCCAGTCCTGAGCTCCCCCAGGCGTCCGTTTGCCCCCGCCCGAGGTCGCGGAGTTTCGCTCAAGTCCCGGCAGCCCTGCCAGGACCCTGCGCCCGCAGTCGGCGGCGCCACCC